AAAATTCCAGATTCTTTTTATTTCCTCTGGTGTCTCTCTTAAAGGCTTCTGTGACTCCCAGGATGGGCTCTGGGGGCCCCATCTCCACATGGCTCCACCAGGAGCTGTCTCTGGTGGGAGTTATGGCAGTGAGGCCTGGGTGGAAAGCAGTGGCTACCCAAGACAGGATTTGGCTGGAGTGCAGGAGGGCCATGGTGGGTGGTGAGAAGGCAGAAGGTAGCTACAGGATGGAGCAGCAGGCACAGACACCTTTTTAAAGATTTTTATAGTAATTTATGTTTGTATATGGCGTGAGATAGGGGTACAAATTAATTCTTTTGTAAGTGGATATCCAGTTGTTCCTTAATCAGTTGTTGAAAACACTATTCTTTATTCTGAATATTTATGGCACTCTGGTTGAAAATAAATTGTCCATAAAGGTGAGGGTGTGTGTGTGTGTGTGTGTGTGTGTGTATGTGTGTGTGTGTACTTTAATTCTATTACATTAATCTGTATGATATCTTTAAGTCATTACCATATTGTATTGATAACTTTAGCTTAGCAGTAAGTTTTGAAATAGGGAATTATGAGTCTTCCAACTATGTTCTTCAAGAACATTTTGTCTATTCTGTGTCCATTGCATTTTCATATGAATTTTAGGATTAACTCATCAATTTCTACAAAGAAACAAGCTGGGATTTTTATATGGATTGCACTGAACCTGTATACTACTTTGGGGTATATTGCCATCTTAACAATATTAAGTCTTCTGATTCAGGAGCATGGGATTCTTTCTACTTATTTAGGCCTCTTAAAATTTACTTCAACAATGTTTTGCAGATTTTGGAGTATACATTTTTTATTTCTTTTGTTAAATTTGATTCCTAAGTATGTTATTTAAATTTTTTATTGAAGTATTGTTGACACACAATGTTACAGTAGTTTCAGGTGTACAACATAGTGATTTGACAAGTCTATACATTATGCTATACTCACCATAAATGTAGCTACCATCTGTCACCATACAATGCTATTATAATACATTGACTATATTTCCTATGCTGTACCTTTTATCCCTGTGACTTATTCATTCCACAACTGGAAGCCTGTACCTCCCACTCCCCTTCACCCATTTTGACCACCTCCCCACCCCCCTCCCTACCATCAATTTGTTCTCTGTATTTATGGTTCTGTTTCCTAAGTATGTTATTTTTAATGTTATTATAAATGGAACTGTTGACTTAATTTCATTTTCTGACTGTTCATTACTGGTGCATAGTAATAAAATGTATTTTTTATATTGATTTTGTATCTGGAAAAAATGTTGAATTTGTTTATTAATTCTAATAGTTTTTTGGTAGTTTTCTTAGGATTTTACATACACATGCTCATGTCATCTGAACATTATATTGTTTTAAAATTACATATATCACAATAAAATTAATATATATTTTTCATGAACTTACTTTTTTGGAAGCACAACATCCAAATAGTTATTTTGTACAAATTAACTGCAAGTTCCTATTATTTACTCCTTCACTCCTTCATTCCTCCCAGCTCCCTCCTATACTTTGAGACTCTAAACACTCACTTCTGAGACCACTGGAGGTTTGTCCCAGACTGAATGGAGAAAGCCTGCATCATTTCCCACTGATTCTGGGAGAAGGTTAGGCATGCAGCTTGAGGAGGGTGAGGGCACTGGAATGGAGAAGGTGCTCTGAGTTTCTTTGGTCCTGGCATTCCCCACAATCAGTTCATCATTCACAATGCACAGACTAGAAGAAAGTTGGACCCTTAGACAACTGGAGAAATGGACAACCCCACCCCCAACAACCATCCTGCTCCCATTGCCACTCGGCTACCAAATTCCTCCCATACCCCTACTGTGCCTGATCCCTGGGTTCCTTGGCTGGTACCTCTGGTCCCCCCACAGCACCCACTTTTGAAGGATTGTCTACCAGCTTCACTAGATTTGTAGATTTAATTCTAATGTATTTACCCTTTACAGAGGCACAAGGAATGGACACTCCAATCCCCATTTTCAGAGTAAGACAGTGAGTCACTGAGGTGTTATAACCTGACCAATGTCACTCAGCTAGCTAGTGAGTGTTGAGGTCAGGAAAAGAATCTGGTATTCTGACTCCAGAGTCCACACTCTTAACCACTAACCTAGACCTCTCCTTAGGTCTACCTGCTGGCTTTCCACTGAGGAAACCTCTAGGCTGTACCACTACATTCCTACACCATTGTCCTCAGGCTGGGATGGGTGTTTGTTCCCATTTTGCACCCACAACACAGCACTTACCTGGAATTGCTGTCAGAAGTCAAAATGAAGATCAAGGTGAAAGCATGGACAGAATCTTGAGAATATCCTTCCATTTCAATGACAACAAACAGCAATATCCCCTTAGAGTTGTACATATTTTTCACACAAGCAGGATTCCCCTTTCAAGGACTTACTTGATAGTCTTGCAGTACCCTGATGGGAGCCAGACAGGGACAATTTTTCACTGGAAGATAGGAGGGGGCTTCAAGGACTGAGAGGGTAACAATAGGGATAATCAACTCCCAGGGGTAGGACCCCCAACATGTATCAGATCCTCTGACAAATACATGTTCACTTGATTCATTTTTAAAGCAGCCCAAGATAAGGGTATTACTAGCTTGTTTTGCAAATGAGGAAACTGAAAGGTTAGATAATCGGACCAAGAATCACAGAGTAAGGAATTGAGATGAGAGCTATAAAATGCCACAGCCTGTGCCTCTAACATGTAAGCTGTGTTGGGTCAGAAAGGCATGGATGTATGTCAGACCAGGATAGTCTGGGGGCAAGGTGGGGATGGGAGAACACAAAGGGAATCAAAAGGAAAGGGAAAGGAAGGGAAGGGAAGGGAAGGGAAGGGAAGGGAAGGGAAGGGAAGGGAAGGGAAGGGAAGGGAAGGGAAGGGAAGGGGAGGGAAGGGAAGGGAAGGGAAGGGAAGGGAAGGGAAAGGAAGGGAAGGGAGCAACTTGGAAAGCTGGAAGAATTGGAAGGTAGCCAAGCCAGGGGAAAGAAATAGTGGGGTATCTGGGGAGAGGACTCTACAGATACGTACCTTCCTTAAAACCCCCATTGACATGAAAACAGAGCATTGTTTCCTGAAAGGGAAGAACAGTTACTAAGGCTCTCAGTATCCTTCTAAACCTCCTACCCACTTACGACTTTCTTGGTCTGCCCAAGGGAGGAAACATGCTCACCATCTGAATGCTCAGGTCTACAACATAGGGGTTAAGGTCATGCTGAGTTTTGGGCAGCATATTGAGGGAGTCAACAATGTCATACTTTGTATGTTTTAGCAGCTGAACATGCAGGTTTGTGGGGGAAAGAGAAGGAAAGGTCAGGCCCTTGGCCCCTATGTATGTTCCCTTCATGCCCCCTTTCCCATGCTGATCTTCTTGCTTTTCACATTTACCAGGGTTCTTGACTCTTAATATCACTGCTATCCTTGAAGTATTCTTCCAAGCTGTTTCTAGGAAAAAAAGAGGAAAAGGAGGTGGTGGTCCAGGCAATTTAGATGTTTCCAGGAGCTGATATGTGTTTGCTGGGGAGACACATGGCCCAGGAACAGAGTCTGAGCTGTGATACTCACAAGGCTGCATCTTCAGGGTTGAAGGGAATGGTCAGGGAGAAGCAGGCCTCATTGTGTTAAGCACTGAGAGTCATAGATCAAGTAATACATGAAGAAGAGCAAAGGCAATAGGCTATCTCTATGGTTTGGGTCCCCACGGGGACTTGAAAGCTCCCCTCAACCCATGAGCAGACCTATGCTTGGGTGGCCCATTCCAGCCCTCTTCAGCCTCATGGTCCCATGGGTACTTACTGAAGCAGGAACTGAAGGATTAGATTCTTAAGAATCTCAGATCCATTATAGCTTTTCTGGAATCAAAACACACCTTGAAACTATGTGGTAGACAAAGCCTCCCTTGCAACATTCCAAATCATGCTTGGTTCATCCTCACCTTACATTTTCCAGGAGAAATAGCCTGCCCTGGAAATCATCTGCCCTGGCTGGCCCTGGCACCCAAAGTAGGAATGGAAAACATGCAGGTGTTGGGTTGGGGGCCCATTTGTGTTGGCTGAAACTTTGTCACCTATGAGAGCTCAGTCTGAGCCAGGCATGGGGAACGAAGCAGCCACAGGGGCAGGAGACCTACCCCAGAAGGACTAGAGGGTCAAAGCCCCAGGTCAGCATGGGGCTGAGGGTCTGTGGCCCCCTCTTATGATCACCGCCTTCCCTCCTGATGGCCCCAGCACACCTGTGCCTCTCTCAGTCAGTTCCTAGCCTGAGGGATTATAGTCGTGTCGGGCTACCCAGAGCTTCTCTGAAGGACCAGTCAGGTTGATGTGATGTGTGGAAGGAAGAGAGGGGGAAGTGCCTCTGAGAGGCCTGTCCTCTCTCCTCAAGCACCTCTGCCCTCTGCCTTCCATTCCTGCCTCAGGAAGCCCTCTGCTCACTGGCAGTCACCCACTTCTGGCCCCCTGATTCAGGGAAGCCTGGTTTCTCCCAAGGAGGGCTTAGCTCCTGACATTGGGCCAGAGGAACAGGATCTTGAGGAAGAGCCCCCCCCAGGACCTCAGCCTTCAGCATGGGGCAGGAAAGCTACCGTGGCAGCCTGGAATTAGAAAGGGGACCCAATTTTTTCAAGGAAAGTAGGCTCCTCTTGGGGTGAGGGAATCCCCATCTCAGCAGGGAGTAGGAAGGCCTGTCTCAGCATGAGGTCCTGGCTGGAGGAGCCTTGGCAGTTCAGTTCATAGCATCTGGCTCAAAGTGGTCACTTCTAGTCCTGGAGAGGAGGACTCCTGCTTCCTGGAGCATTCTCATGGGAAGGAATGCTAGAGACAGCTGGGTGCAGAGTGGAGAAACAGAGCCCAGACCTGGAGAACAAGTGAGTAGGTCATAGGAAGGAAAAGACCTCTAAGCACAGGTCAGGGACACAGAGAGAGGAGAGAGGGGGCCTATAGTCCTTCTAGAGGTGGCAATTCAGGTTCCCAAGGTACAAATGTCCTCAGGAGGCATGACAGAAGTTACCATAGACCTTACATAGGTGGGCTGGTTTGGGAAGGTGCCACACAGAGGGTTCCCTTTCAGCCACAGCTCTTCAAGCTTCAGCCCTTTCATCTTGCCTAACTCCCAGGCTGACTGCACCTGAAAAATACGGGAAAGAAACCAGAGAAATGTCCTAGGAATAGGGACACTTGGGCCCTCCCTCCTGCTCTGGTATCTTCTTCTGCCTCTTGTCATCACTCTGATGAACACAACCACCCACTATCAACCCCAACTTTGATCTGGCTCCCTCTTCCCACCTCATTTTTGGAGAGGTTCAGGATCTTGACTGTGGGGGCCATCTCTATAATGTCAGACAGGCCATCCAGCCCGTACAGTTTGTTGTTGCACAAGTTCAAGGACAAAAGCTTTTGGGGAAGGAGTTAGAGTGACAGTTACTATCTATGGCCTCAGAGACAAATCTTCCCTCTATCCTATGTGTTCCACCCCCTACCATAATACCAGCAGTGGACATAAGGCCTCACCTCAGGGAAATTCTTTTTGATGATCTGCAGAGTGGCAGCCATGCAGTTTCTTCAATTCAGGATTATATCTATATCATGGTCCATCTTCAAAAAGGTGAGAGGAGGCATCAGAAGGCTGAGAGGGATCCAGGGCCAGCATCAACCTTTCCCTCATTACCATCCCTCAGTCTCCCTTCCAGGCAGACCCCCAGAATTGCTACTATCAGTTGTACTTGGGTCAAAGTAGAGTTTATGGAGGTCAAGAGCTTTTTGGGAGATATCATAGCATTTGCTCATGGTCAGCTGCAGAGAAATATGGTGAGAGCCACTGTGAGTCTGTCATGGTGATAGGAAAATTGGGGGCTGGGGAAAGAAGAGGTAGGTCTGGGTGTGGGCACACAATGGGCCTTGAGACTTCATTACCTTTAGCTGCTCCATTTCTTCTGGCTCCAGTTTATTCTGTACAGAGTAAGGTACAGCAGAGGGATTGACATGTATAGATAGCTATAGGAAGGAGAGGTGGGGTAAGCACTAGGAACTCTCATTTTAAGATGAGTGGCCACTGACTGGCTTGTCTTCCTGCACTGGAACTAGGTATGGGTAATATCCTCAACACATACCTTTTGATTTTCCTCATCACAAATCTTGTAGTTGATATCCTTCAATGCAGAGGCAGCCCTAGCATCCTGAATAAAGAACTGGGCCTGGTCTTTAAAGTAATGGAAATACAGGGATTGAAAGCAACAGCAATAGTGTCAGAGGCCAGTGGACCCTGCTGAGCTATCTCTCCCTCTTCCCTGTTCCCATTTATCCGGATTCACTACCTGTCTTACATCGACCATGGTGAAGGGGACACTGCAATGGCTCTGTATTGAATTTATTAGCCATGTCTTGTTATACTTTATTCCATAAGGAGTCTAAGGATGAAAAGAAGGGATGGGAGAGAAGGGAGACAACAGGGCAGTAAGACTGTAGAACAGACCCAACCTGGTGATCTATTCCAACCTTCTACTGAGCTTTAAAAGGCTTCCAAAGTAGGGACTATGGACATGATTTTAATTTTTTCTTTTGCCAGACATGGATTTTCTAATTTTCCATTCTCCCTATTTGAATATTTAACTCCCAAACAATCAAATTTAGATATTTAAATGATTTTCCTTTAATAAGGTAACAGAAAATCCTATGTGTTGAAAACCCTACCTGTTCCTCTGACAAGGAATTTGGAGAGTATAGACCTCCACACTCAGCTTAAGCCAAACTGTGGCATCTGGTGAGGAGTTGCTCCATATCCTTGGCAGTAGTTTCCACCTTTGCCTTTAGTCAACTTCCTCTGACCTTCCTTCAGTCAACCTGTTCCCTTTGAATTGGTTGTGTGAACCTGCCCTTTGTCCTCAACAAAGTTCCTAGCATCTCTATATGAGACCAACACAACTCCCCTTGATCTGCCTCTCTTGCACATTCCCTATTTTTTGTCAGGATACTTACTGTGATCCTGAACCAGCCCCCTGGGTTTCCATCCTGTGTGTTCTCCATATCCCTCTCTGGAAATGTTCTGTCTTGGTATTCATTATGCCATTTCACACAGCTATTGTTGGGTTGGAAGGTAGAGAGAGTGCTGTGGGGGAAGTGGATAGAAGGGAGTGTCCATAAATATATAGAAATGCATAGAAATGCTACAAAACCTTCTATATACTCTCACCTCAATAATGCCAATTCTAGAATTAGGATTGCTCAGTTGTTATTCCAGTTCTATCACTCTTCACTTTCAGTGAGAGAAGAAAAAGACTATGGAGAACAAAAAAGTTGCAGTCCCAGGGGCTGCAGCATGCAAACCAGGCTGCCTGATCACTTACTGTCTTATTTGAGGGTCCTACTGGGAATCCCTCATTGCCATGTTTCCATCAACCTCCTGAAGTTGGGAAGGATGAAGCTCATATCCACACGTTCATAATGAAGCCTCCCTTTGCCAAAATTACCCTGGGGAGAATCCCCGCCTTTATTTTTCTTTAAGGAGAGCTACCTTCATTTTTATTTTAAATAAAAAATAAATTTAAAATCAAATTTACTTTAAAATTAAGAAAAAACATACAAGTTTGAAGACACATCAGTGGTCTCATACCATGTACCTCATCTTGGCCTAACATCATGGTAGGGCAAGCAAAGTGTCAACCTGCCTATATAGAACAATCATACAAACCCCAGAAAGCAAACTTCTCTACCTGTCTATATATGGGAGCCTTATTTGACAGATGGCATAATCAGGGAAGAAATCTTGAAGTAGAAGGTAACTATGTAGAACCATTTAGAAAATGGTGCGGCATTTATAAAGAATAGAAGTATGAACGTTCATGAGTTATACACTAGGAAGGCATCTGAATCTTGCCTTCTTTCAGGCCTCTCTAATCTAACAACTTCACCACAACCTGGTAGGCAACCTCTCTCTCACCTCCTAAATCCAATAAACTACCAAATTGACTTCATTAACATCAGCAAGCTGTACTTTCTTTTTTAGTATAGTACAAGCTTTAATGTCAGGAGAGACTGATATAACAGCCTTCTAAACTGTCCCTCTCCTTCTAGCCTTGCTCTCAACAATATTCCGAAATATCCTGAGTGAGCTTTCTTTTGTTCAGCCTGAAATGTCCTTCAGCTAAGGAGACAATTATTTCTAACCTCTGGTCTTTTATAACAAGGATCTGAACAATGAACTGGAATGATAGATGTCAACTACAATTTCCAAGTGTTTAGATACTTTTCTGTTTACTTTCTGTTGTTATATAGATTGATTCCATTATGGTCAGAGAACATACTCTATATTTCAGTTCTTTTACATTTGTTGAGGTTTGTTTGATGGCCCAGGAGATGGTCTATCTTAATGAAGTTGCATGGGAACTTGAAAAAATGTATACTCTGCTGTTGTTGGGTAGAGTATTCTGGCATATGTCATGTAGATTCTGCTACTGTATTGATTATATTATTCAGCTCTTCAATATTCTTGATGATTTTCTCTCTAGTAATTCTATTACTTCCTGAAAACAAGGTGTTGAGATCCCAACAATAATTGTGGATATGGTCATTTCTCCTTTCAGCCTCATCGGTGTTTGCTTCATGTACTTTGAGATTCAGTTGTTTGGATGTGTATACTTTAAAGATTGTTATGTCTTGCTGGTGAATTTATCCTTCTACCATTATGTAATATCTTCTATGTCTCTAATTTTCTTTGCTCCAAAGTCTCCTTTATCAGATATCATGGCCTCAGGTATGCATATAAACATGTTTGTTTGTTTGTTTTAATATTTCACACTATTCACTCCTACAGTTTTTCTTTTTTGGCCCCCACACTTGCCACCACCAAGATATCTAGTTCACCATGTGGCAAGATTTGGAAGTTTTTTCTGGAATCTACAGAAGTAAGATTGTCTCAATTATCTCTCCCAAAGGTAGGGTCACTAAGGGTATTTTATTTTTACTATATTCAGCTAAAACAATGTACCAGTTGGTAGTAATACTAGTGGTTTTGGGGGAGGGAGGATTAAGGCAATTAGATGGTTAGAAACCAGATTTTCTTTGGGTTTTAACATTTAAGGTTTTCTAGGCTTGTGTGTTGCACATTGTACATTAATTACTCCACATTGTCTCAGAGCATGCTTACAAGTAAAGATCTATTCATTCCTGGTCACTCCATGATGCACTGATTATGAACAGGCCTTGAATTAACTCCTTTGGGAAGTGGTTACTTTCTACTGTGTGACCTGCTGTCAGAAAAGTCCTGCTACTCACAACTTTTGATCTTTTCCTTGTATGGCACATGGAAATGAAACTAAATTATTTGAACCAGAAATTCCATATGCTTAGTGTCCAAAACTTGGAGTTAGCCTAAGTATTCTCTTTCTCTCATACCCCACACCTAACTTATCAAAAAATTCTCTCGGCTTGCCCTCAAAATATGTCCAAAGTCTAGCTACTTCTTGCCCCTTTATTGCTACCAACCTGGTTGTTACCAACATCAATCTTCTGTATTATATTGCCTTCCAACTGGCCCCTCTGTTTTCACCCAGGCTCCCTCACTATCTATTTTTAACTCAGCAGGCAGAGTGATATTTTAAAGTGAGTGATATTTGATATAAGTAAAATCTTGTCAGTCTTTTGCTATAAAAATCCTATAAAAGGATTTGAAGCCCATCAAAATGTTAAAAGGTGAGTTCATCATGATAACAACAACACAAAGAAACCTTATTGTTGACATTTGCAGAAGCCCAGCAAATCAATTTAATTTTATGAAAATTTATAAAGAGGAAGAATCAAATATTTATTCTTTTTTTTCTACATAAGCTGTACATAAAGATAGCAAATTTATTGAGGATGGAGTTTCTCTTTATAAGTGTATTCTAGCTAATATAAGAAGGCATGATAGAATTTGAGCATCATCATTTTAAAACTCATAATTAAGTAAGGAACCTATACAATGGTGATAAATGGCTGGTAAATATCACACACACACACACCAATCAGACATAATGTGCTATGTTATAGGCACTGTCTATAAAGAAGTCTTGTCAAAAGCATCAAACCTGAATCTGATCAAGTCTTTTAATTTCTTGTTTCAGCATTGGAATGCAATGAACCAGTTTCTTTAACAAACAAATGTGGGGGAAGGGTATGTGAATATATTTGGTACTGTATATTTGTATGCTATGGGATATATTATGCATTTATGCAAATATATATATCTGTATTTATATATAGATATATATATATAAAATATAATCATACAGTAAAAATATCTGTAACCTGCACTTTTTATTTAACAAATTTTTGATGTCATTGCATGTTCAGAAATATTTAATAGATTTTTATCATTTGGCAAATTAATATGTTTTTTCTTTAATGACATTGTAGAAATTAAAGCTAAGATCACTTATTCACCAGGGCAAGAACTGAGGGTTGAATTTCATTGAGCTGGAAGCTCAGGAAAAAATAAATAGGATTAATCTGGAACATATCTTTTTTATATTTTAAAAAGGTGGAAATAATAATTTCTGATTTTCATATAATTTGTACATTAGATTATCATTTCAGTTAGAATCTTAATTGTCACAAACTTTAACCTACTAATACAGTTTCAAATTTTAACAAATCCAAGATTTTGCTACAATAAGCTATTATGAAAAAGATTATACACACATTCTATATATTTCATAGTTTTCCATGTAATAATTCCCATAAGTTGATTATTTTGGTCAAAATATGAATATTTTCAATTTTAAGAAATTTTTATAAGTGATATATATATACTTACACCTATTTGCATGCTAATCAAGAGTGAGCTTATTTACTCACCAGTGTTTACTTGCTGATTAAACAATTATCTTTTGAATTTATATTTGGAATAGCATTGACTCTAATAAATATATATATTCATATAAAACAGGAAGACATAGCGGAGTGGGGATCCAGAATCTATTGTCAGTGGAATAGTTGAAATATGAGAGTGGCTGAAGGCTGGAACTGACCTGAGGGCCTCAGAAGAAGGAGCAAATAGTCAAAAATGGGAGGATAAGATGATGATGTGTGCTTGTAATACAATAAAACAAGAAAAATGTCTGAGGTACTCTGTGCTGGCCAGACACACCCATCCGGAAAACTTAATGAAAAGCATATTACATGTGTTTTCCTGTTCTTGTTACCTTATCTTCTAGACATTAGAGAAAGCACAGTGCAGAAGACAGCAATTATAATAAGGACTCTGCCAAACTAAGCATGAAAAAGAAATAAATTTAGAGTTTTCCTTCCAGTACTGACAGATGAGCTAACTTGGACCAAACTTCCAACTAAGAACAACTAGGAAAGTGTGAAAAATCATTTAAAATAAAATATTATTTGAAGGCATCAAAGAGCTAGCAATGTCATAAGATGTTACAGAGCAAAGATCAGAGGGAAAAAGAAACTCCAGAAGGCAATCCCAATGTTTAGGGCTACTTTTCTTTTAGCAGCAATTGATGATTCCTAAGGAGACATGTGAAATGCTTAAATGCTGGCAAGTTTGTGATAGATTTTCTACAGAGTCATAGGGCTAAGTACATAAATGTTGAAAGTGGGGCATCCAAGGGGAGAAGATCCTGGCAAACCACTCAGGCTTAGATAGGGACCTCCAAGATCTATGCCAGGCAAGTAAGGGCAAACTGGAACTAGATCAGTCCCCCAAGGGACTGAAGTCCAGATTAATAATCTCAACCACCAGTGGGATTAAAGGGATTTGGGGTTGTTTGTTGCTGTCTGGCAGTTTATCAGGAAAAACGAACAAATTTTAAACAAAAACCTTTTTCATGAAGAAAGATAACTTCATTCTAAGACTGAAGTAAATAAATCTACAATGTATTACATATAGTTCCCTGAAAAAAAATTAGAATAACTAGTTTAAAAAAGAGATAAGATAATATGATTAAAAATCGAGGAATGAAAAAAGACATTAAAAACAATCCACATGAAATCCAAATAATGGCATTATTAGATACAAACTTTAAAATAATCATGGTGATGGGAGGGCACGTACTGCATGGAGCACTGGGTGTTATAAGAAAACAATGAATCACGGATCACTACATCAAAAAGTAATGAAGTATGGTGACTAACTTAACAAAACAAAATTAAAAAATAAAATAATCATGCTTATAATTGTCAAGAAAATATTAAAAATTGAAAATTTTAGCCAAGAATTTGAAAATATAAAAATGATTGAAAATTCTAGAACTCAAAAACACAATACCCGGAATTAAGAACAATTATGGTATTAGCAGCATATGAGACACACTGAAGGGAGATTTAGAGAAATAAATGAAGGGTCTGAAGAAAATATCCAGAATGAAGTATGGAGAGACAAAATGATGAATGATATAGAAAGAGATGGAGCAATTTAAAAGGGATGCAGTAAATATATCAAACATGTTTAATTGGAGTCCTATAAAGGAGAGAGAAAAGTGCAGAATAGTATTTCAAGATACAATGTTCAAGGGGTGCCTGGGTGGCTCAGTCGTTAAGCGTTTGCCTTCGGCTCAGGTCATGGTCCCAGGGTCCTGGGATCGAGCCCCACATCGGGCTCCCTGCTCGGCGGGAAGCCTGCTTCTCCCTCTC